GGATAATAGTACCATCTCCTAGAATTATTATGTAAAGCATTTCCCAATGTGCTTTGTATGTAATGGAATAAATGCTGCACAATTACTAGTTTTTATTTTATTTTTTAAGGGGAAAAAATAAGGTGTATTTATCACCTTTATCACCTAAATTCTTGCCCATATTCCTTGTTCCATAATCCCCCCAAATCCTACAAAGTGGAGAAATTTTGAAGATCATTTAATTAATGTTAGCTAAGGCAAGAACTCAGATGCAAAACCAGTTCTGTCTGAATTCAGAGCATGTGCTATGTCCCCCACACTACTATCTTTTTTTAAATCCACTTCATTGAGGTATGATAGCCATACAAAAAGCTATACATATTTAATGCTACAACTTGAAAAGTTTGGAGATAAGTATACGTTGTGATCCCCACAATCAATGCCATGAACACATCCATCACCTCCAAAAGTCTCCTCTTGCCCTCTTTATTTATTATTATATTTTTGGTGATAAGAACACGTACATAGATCTACCCTCCTACCAAATGTTTAAGCATATAATACAGTATCGTTAACTATAGGCTCTATGCTGTACAGATCTCTAGGACTTATACATCTTGTGTAACTAAAACTTGTACCCTTTGACTAATACCTCTCTTTTCTCCCTTCCTAGTTTTGATTTTTAAATAGACTAATAACACCTGTCTCCAAGAGTGCCTGTAAGGATAACACAAAATCTAAAGAACCAGCAGACCTGACATAGAATAAAAGCCAATGGTCAGTGCTGGCTTTCCCCCATGGCTTCCCAGCCCCTCTTGCTTTCTTGAGTTGCCCTGGCCCTTAGGGCTCAGGCAAAGTTGTGTGTTGAGACCAACTATAACTCTGCTCCTCACTTTGGTGCAGGCACAAGCTGGACCCCTTCGGGGTACTCACTCTCTCGTCCCTATCCTCATCTCCTAACTTTGTAATCCTTCTCTTGCTTTGTCTTCTGTGCTCCACAAAGTTCATAAAGCTTAGAGCCTTGTCCACAGAAGTGCCTGTGAAGTCATCAAGTCAATGGCCCAGATCATGGCCCCTCCAAGCTGTTCTTCAGCAGCCACTTGGCCTGTGGGAGAGAATCGGGGGGACTGTGGGGTGTCTTTGCACAAGTTTGGGGGGCAACTCCAGCAGGATGGTGGGGAGGGCGATGATCCAGTCATGGGGAGGAGGGAATGGGAGAGTGGCTTTCCTGCAGTGACTTTGAGGGACTCATGGACATATTTGTATACAAGGAAGATTTTACGATGACCAAGTCAGGGAGAATGAGTCTTGGGCCCAAACAGCCCTTTTCCCCTGCACTCTGTTATCACCAACCATCTTCTGAGAAGCCTTGTCTGAGTTGAAACCTGGGTGGATTGTAGTGTCATAAGAGATATAGGGCCCTTCACACAGCAAGTGTCTGTCTGGGCAAAGAGATGGGGCTCCAGACGGGGAGGTATGGGGGAGCGCTGGGGTTGGTGAGCAGTAACCACCCATACCTGAGCATGTAAAGGCCAGTGGGCACTAGCCTAATCCAGAAGATCTCTCACCTCCTGATTTTTGTTCAGCCTGTATATATTTGCTGTAAGCAGGAGAGGAAGAAACTCTGATCTACACCGTTGGAGTGGGGAAGAATGCCTGCCTCAGAGAGCTGGATCGGTACTAGAGCAGAGTAGAGGAGAAGACCAAAAGGGAGTCTCCAGGAGTAGCGGGGGGGATGAGAAGGTGCAGGTGCTGAGGGAAAGGAGGAAGCCAACTGCAACTGCATGCGAGCAGAGGGGCTGCTCCAAATGCCCGGCTCTGCAACTGGGCCATTGATTCCCCTTGAGACCGTAGGGCCTCCCTGGGTCTTGCCTCACGTTGCCTCACCTCTCTTAGTCTTCTCCTGGCATTGTAATTCAAATGCACTAGGAAGGCAGCTTGCCTACCTCTCTCAACTGTGCAGAAGGAAGGGTGTGGAGGGCCTTACCTTGAGGGTGGAGCTCTTGGGGTTGGCATACCCAATCCACTGGTTCCCCATGTAGGCATAGGGCACCTCCCAGGGGGCATTCTACACTTCAGTGGCTCCTCTCAGGAAGGAGCAGAGCTGGGACAGGAGGAACAAGCACTACTCGGATGGGCCCCACTTTGCTCAGTCCACTCCCCCCTCCTCCCTCCCTTTCTTTTCTGGGATACACTCCTTGCCCCACCCCTCTTTGCTGGAAATAAGAGCTCATGGTTCCAGTTTCACCCCAGCTCCCTGCCTTGCTTCCAGTTCAGTGGCACAGTGGAGGGGACACTGGCTGGAAAGACGAGACATGAATTCCAGTCCTGTGTCTGCTGGCGCCCATCTGTGAGATAATGGACAGGGCAGCTTCTTTGTGCCTTGTGCCCCAGTTTCCTTTTGAAATGAATTTGCCTGTTCCTCTTATTTGAAAGAGTTTTTACCATTAAAGAATCAATAGGGGGATAGTACAGCATAATGGCTAGGGTCTGAGATTCTGGAGCTGGACAACTTAGGTTTGAATCCTAGCTCTGCCACTTACTAGTTCTGTGGCCTTGAGCAAATTTCTTAACCCATCTGTGCCTCAGTGTCCTCTTGTGTGAGAGGATAAAATCAGCACCTCATTGTTTGCTGGGAGGGTTAAATAAGATGGTATAAGAATCACTTAGAACAGAACCTGGCTATCCCTTTGCACTCAGTAAATGTTAACTACTACTAGTATTAAAGATGCACATTTACTTTAAAAGGTTAAAATTTAAGGTGTTTTTTTAATCATTCACTCTGACCCTTCCCTCACTACCACATACACTCAGAGCAGTCAACAGCAGCATACCCTGTATTAGAAATCAGCATATAAATTCTCTCTCCATGGAAGTATCTTCAGTCCTTTAGAACAGAGAGAGTGGATCCCAGGTCCCCAGGCCGTGTGGGACATTATCTCAAAGTAGGCGAGAGTCTCAGCCTCCTGTGTATAGGGCCTGGCAGTTCCCGGGCCAGAGGTGGGAGCATCTAGACCACAGCTGGCAGGGTTAATGAGAGCGATGGTATGGGCATAAACCCCACAGCCCACCAACAGCTTCTCAGCAAGGGCACCTTGGTTCTTCCAGTAGTTCATCACATAATCCTGGAGGCAAAGTAAGGAAGATATTATCGAGAAGCAGCTGAGTATGTGCCCAGAGGCCTGTGGAATAGCCTATGTTTTCTACCCCATTCTCTGGCCACTTCAGACATAGCATGCAGTCAAGCCCCTTCCACAATCCAACCTCGTAGAAAGGAAAAGAATACCCTCCCTTCTAGAACTGAATGTTAGAGGCACCCTCAGTCAAGAGGTACATTACCTAGGTAGCAGGACCCAGTGTCAACAAGGAATGAAATGTTGTCTTCTCCTCCTTCTCATCATACTGGACTTATCATCTGGGGCATGACTAGAGTTCAGCCTTTGATCCTCTTGTCTTCCCAACTGGCATAGTACTGCAGCTCTGAATTGTTTGAGCATGGGGTATGCACCTTTGAGACTTTCCCATGCCAATTTTTAAATCTCTAATTGAATTTTACACTGAAATCAAATCTAGCCAACTTACTCATCCACTAATCATTAAGCAGATTCATTATTACAGCTGCCTATGCCATACAATTTAGGAAGACAACCCTCATGGGCTAGGGAGAGAGTAGAAGGAAGGTGAGGAAGAGTGGGGGAAGATGCAACATAAAATGTGCTCCTAGCAGCAATGGAAATGATATTTAAAAATTTTTTTCCAATGTTTGGGATTATCCCAAACCACTATTCTGCTTTCTTTTGTGTGAAAGATAAATGAATACAATTAATCATAAGGATAAGAAAGTAGGGAAAATGAGCTGGGTTAGGGAAGACCATCCTCTTCATCCTGTCCATCAAGCTTCTTTGGCCTCCCTTTCAGTCCTCGGCCAGGGATCCCATGACATGCTTTGAAGATATCTGTTAGAACTGGCTGTCCTGAATCCACTTCCTGACTTACCACATTAGATTATTTGTAGTCTCCCTGGTCAATGGGTCCTGCAAACAGGGGGCTGTTATCTCCTGTGAAGTCTTCCCAGGAGCCCCTTAAGTCATAGGTCATCACATCGATGAGGTCCATGTACCTTGGGTGGTTGGGGGTCGGGTACAAGAGAAGAGAAATGATCCAAGGGAGATCATACTTTCCATCCCCCTCTCCCTAAAGCCCCTAGTCCCTACCAAATGTGTTTTTTGTAATTATGCCATAGGGGATATGCTTTAGTATTCTTTATTCCATTCTCCCTCACCTTTACCTCAAGAATACCTGATCTATAGAAGGCATGCAATCCATAATCAGTATCTGGTTGCGCTCAGATCTTCGAGAGCTGTAGAAGTTTGAGACTCAACTAACCTTCTCCAAGTAGCCTTTTATCATCGAGAATCTTGTAAATATATTTAGAAACAAGGCCAGGGCTCATGCTGGCTTCCTATATCTTTCTCTCTGGCATTGGGGTCATCTTATTCCTTTGGGATACAGCCCTCTCTGTCCAGGATACCTGGACAGAGCATTGGCCAATCTATGGGGGGAAGTCCCAGGGTTGCTTAGCTCTGAACCTGGGCTCCTGGGCTTGAGGTTTACTTATTTAGACATCTCAAGGATCTGGTAGACAGTCTCAATGGTACCTTTTCTAGCCAACACAGCAGCAGAAATCAGCAATGTAGGCTTGTTGCTCTGGGTGGCCTCTTGCTCAAAAATCTCATACATTTCTTATGAAACAGAGGACACTGGACTCAGGCTTCAGGGACCAGTGAGCGTGTGATGAGGTCACAGTTCTAATGAGGAAAGCTACAAAGTGCTCAGTTTAGAGTCTTTTGGTCCAAAAACTGTTGTTGGTCTCTGGGGTCAACAATGAGTTGTCTCCCAAAAACTTGTAAATGAGGGAAATTTGGTGGCCCTGTGAGAGTTAAACTTTAAAATGAACAAATAATGTCGAGAGCAGAAAAATAAAAGGACTCACCAGTCCTTGAGAACATTGATGCTAGCATAGAGGGCCTCATCATTCCAATTGATCTGGTTGTTGGCCATGCCAGCAAAGGCATAGATGATGTGTGCGCAAAGACAAGGATCCACATTCTCAGACGTGTAGTGGGCAATCCCGGGGCAGTTACTGGCTTCAGTTGATAAAGGAACAGACAATTTTGACTGCTGTGCCTGGAATGGCGGGGAAGTAAGAGATGGTCCCTGCCCTGACTAGTGTCCCTTGCCCCCAGGGTACCCTAGCACTCCCCGTCCTCACATGGGGCACTTACCCAGCTGCAGCAAGGAGGGCCAGTCCTAAAGAAGAAAAGAGATTTTGGTCAGAGGGTCGCAGGGTCATCCTTTCCTTGGCTGAAAAGGAACAAGCCTGGGGAAGCACTGGGCAGTAAATGGGAGAAGGGGAGCTGGGGCCTGATTTCCCCTCTGTTCTATAAATCCTTTCCCTACGTGGGATCCTGCATGATGGTTTGGGAGAAAGTGGCTAATGTAGGCATTCAATGAGCTACCTGAAGCTCAGATGATAGTGTGCAGCTCAGGACCAGGAACATTTGTTATTATTCTTTCAACAAACTCATGTTAAGTACTGGGTGCTGGAGATAAGAAGAAAAACTAGTCCCTGCATTCCAATTGCTCACAGACTGATTGGGAAGGCAAACCTGTAAGTACATAGATGCAATGCAACGTGACAAGTGATAAAATTGAGATATGCACAGAGTATTATGGAAAACAAGTCAGGGAAGACTTCCCAAGAGAGGTGACATTTGGACTGGGCCTGTCTGTTCTCCCTCTAGGCTCCTTTGGTATTTGTGCTTGCTTATCTCCGTCACAGCACTTATCACATTGAAAAATAATTGTTTATTGGTCTGCCCATTAAGCTGTGAACTCCTTGAGGGCAGGGACTGCGCTTACACTGCTGAGTCCCCATTACCCAGCACAGCGCCTGGCACATGGTCAACTCTCTATCAATATGTTTTGAATGAATTGACCCTAAAGATAAGCCAAATTGGTGAGGAAGGTCAGAGAAGGCATTGGAGGTGGAGAAGGGGAATTTTTAGGCAGAGGGCCCCTTCCCATTGCAATCTCTTCCTTTGAGAACTAGAAATCACCTTTTCCAGAACCAACTTCTATCTACTTTTCAACTCAAATGTTGCTTCTAAATTTTATTCCCTTCCAAGCCACCCAACCATACCCAGGATGAACTGTTCTGCGTGACACAATGATCACTCTCATGGGCTCCTATCCACAGTTTGGTCATCATCTCTGGAAAGGAGTTAGCACTGGAGGAACTGCATTAGTCTTTAAAGCTTTTTCTGCCTCTGTCCCCAGCCCCCTCACACCTGTGCCCGGAATATACATACAGGAAAACATCTGCCTCATCCATTTTTTCTGCTGATTGCTCCTGTTTGTTGATTAATCCTTGGTCAAGTCTATGCATTGAGCTCCTGCTCTATGGCTGGCAGGGAGGAGGAATCACAGAACATTAGAATTGGAGGGGCTAGCCCAAGTCGTCTGTCATCTACACAGGGGAAATAGCCTTGTCCTGGTTCACCAGAGTTATCCTTTTTCCCTCCCATCTGAAGCCCTCAGGTGCTCCGTGGGCCCTACCTTCCTCCCTCCCTTTTTTTTTCTCCCCTCTCTCCCTCCCTCCCTCCTTCCCTTCCTTCCTTCCTTCCTGCCTTCCTTTTTCCTTCCTTCCTGCCTGCCTGCCTGCCTCTCTTCCTTCCTTCCTTCCTTCCTCACTGGGTTATGAACCCAAGGAGGCTGCAAGAGAGAAAGGAGACAATGCAGGAGGCCTTGGAGCACAGATAGTGTGTGGAGGCAGAGTGAATGGAGGAGAAAAAGCAGCTACTCTGAAAGCTCAACTGGGCTGCCTAGGAAAGACTCACCACCAAGAATCAGCAATTTGCTCATTTTGACAGGAACTCCTAAATGCGAGTTCCAGGCCTGAATGGGCACTCAACACTGAAGGAAACACTGAAGGTCTTCCCACTCTGCACCTGGCTCCCCTCTGCAGGCAGGGTGGGAGATCAGGAATAAAGGTATTGGGGGGCACACGGCTCCATTTACCCCCTGAATCTTATCTGTGTTTTCCTTCTTTGGTAATCAACCCCAGGACACAATGGAGACTCAGTGATACCAGCCTTAAAAGGCTGTTGACCGAAGGTACATTTAGGAAAATGGCATGGCACAGGTGTGAGGCTGGCCTAGGGTTCAAAGTCATTTCAGGTCAGAGTGGGTCCCATGTGTCAAAAGAGATCAACTGGACCCTAGTGGAGGAGTATGGACAAGGGAAGTCAGGCCGCCATTCGGCCGGGCTTTATCCCTAGCCAATGGTAGGGACCCCTGTCCAGACTTCAACTCCTTGATTCTATTGTAGCAATAGACATTGGATAGTGGCTAGAAGTTCATGAGGTTTCACCAAATTGGAGTGAGAAAGCGTCACTTTCCAAGGTTGCTTCTGTTTAATTGAAGTTTGCAGGTTTACAAAGGATTGAGAAAATTCCTTTTCTCAATGAGGGGCAGACATTTCTAATTAGGCTCTGATTCAGAAGGGAGAAGCAGCAAGGCCTGAGACAAGGCCCCAGGGAGCCATGTAAATCAAAGAAAAGACAGCTGCACAAATGCCTGTGGATCAAGGCTCTGAAAATCACAATGTTGTAGAACCTTCCTCACTCCACTCCGAGCCTAGCTACCCATACAGAAAGGGATGCGCCTACAGGAAGCCCACCATGATGCCACATCACAGGTGTCCAGACCATATTAGAGGGTCACTCAGCCCTAGAGGCAATGAGAGGAGGAAAGGTGTGGCAGGCTCTCCTACCCAGTGGGCCTGGTTGTACCTTTGGCACTGACATCAGCCCCAGGACATCCACCCAACTCAACTAAAATCCCAGTTAGGATGGGTGGCACTGCTGGCTGCACTCCTAGCGCACACGAGAGGAATGTGGGGACACCTCCCACTTAGAGATCTTCCAGTTTTCTTGAGTTTTCAAGATCTTCTGAAAGATGCTGATCAGACCCCTGGGAACTTCAAATCCAGACCAATTTAAGGGCAATCTGGGTTCACAGAGAACACAGAAATGGGGCCTACAGACTTCAATACAAGTAGGAAGGGCTGATGGCTCTCCTGGAGCTGTTAGCCACAGTCTCCCCTGATCCTTCCCATGCCCTCGACTCAGTTGGCCTCTGTCTGAGCACTAGTCATTGACGGCCGAGAACATGAAGCATTAACTAACTAGAACTGGACCAGACTTGAAAATAATAATAACAGCTAATATTCATTCAGCACATACAATGTGCCAGGTACTTCACAGGTATTAATTCATTTAATCCTCCAAACAACTCTTTGAGGCAGATGCTGTTATTATTATCTATTGTACAGAGTAGGAAAACTGAGGCACAAGGAGACTAAGTAAACTGCTGAAGGTCACACTGAGATGTAGCAGAGCTGTGACCCAAGCAGAGACAGCCCGCCCCTGGGGCCTGGGTTCTTGTGCCCAGCTGCCTCTCACTCACACCACCCCCATGCAACCCTCACATATGGTTCCTCTCTAGCAGAGGACTCTTGGCCTTAAAAGTTCTCCTTAAAGGGGTTGTCTAGGGGGAAAAAAGGCTGACCAGGGTCCCTCTCCAACCTCAGCTAAATAAGAGGCCCTAATCTCCTTAATCTTTTCCTGGCTGTTTGCAAAGCGAGTGGTTCCCTCCTCACAGCAGGCATGAGAGAGGGCTCCATAGAGATCAGGGCTTGGATCCCAGGGCACAGACCTTTGATGGACTCTTAGGCTCCATGCAAGGCCAAGGTTAATGTGTTGGGCAGCTGTTCATGATAATCAAAGTAGCAACAAACACAAATAATGTTCGTGATGTGTCATGTACTAGCCTAAATGCTTTCAAATATTAACTTACTTTCTCGTCATATCTCTGGAAGATAGGTACACTTATTATCCCCATTTTACAGATGAGGAAACGGGTACAGAGAAGCTAAATAACTTGCCCAAAGTGACACAGCCAGTAAGTTAGTGACAAAGCCAGAATGTAAACCCAGGCAGTCTAACTCCAGACTGTGCTCTTAATTACTCCGATCTTGGGCTTTTTGAGAACACAATGACCAGAGGAAAAAGAGGACTGACCCAGAGTTAGAAAACCAGAGAGGTGCCCCAAGCAATGTCTACCTTATAGTAAGAAGATCTGAGCACTGGGTCAGTATTTTGGGAGCCTTGAGGACTAAGTTCCCCTGATCTCTACAGTGCTGGCCACCCTTGCTCTTTGGTATATACATCTGGTGTTTTCTCAGTCATAAGGGAATATTCAAATCAGTTTTGAAATAAATCCCCTAGTATTCCCACTGTCAGTCTCCTTCAGATCATGTAGTCATCTCTAAGCCCCTTCTCTGCAGAAATTCTGGTGGTGCCACCACTCAGATATATGACCTCACATTCCCTGACCCCACTTAGCTTATCTGCATATTGAGCTTATCTGACCTCCTTCCTAAGCCATGAGAATTAAATATGCACGTGAAAGTGTTGTTCAAAGTTTAGGAAAAAAGTAATTTTTCTAGAAGGAAAGGATTAGAAGAGAAGTGAGAGAATGGGGGAAAATACAATTTATCCTGAAATTAGAGTGTCTGAACTCAGAAACAGCCTCAGACCTGAGCAGCTTTAGTCCCTGGTTTGACCATCATGTTAGGGGAAGAATTATAAACTTCTCTGTAAAAGGCCAGAAAGCAATATTTTAGGCTTCGCAGGATGTGCTGTCTCTGTTGCAACTTCTCTACCCTGCCATTGTAGAAGAAAGCAGCCATAGGCAATATGTAAACAAATTGGGCATAGCTGAGTTCCAATAAAATTTTATTTACAAAAACAGGCAGTGGGCTGGATTGGACCCATTGGCCATAGTTTGCTGCCCCCTGCTTTTGATGGTTCCACTCTGGTCCTCTTTCAGCTACACCCCTTGCCATGAGGTGAGGAGATTGCAGGGCTAAGGGCACATCCACCTGGAGCTCACATCCCTCCTCTTCTAAACTATGATCCACATACCCAGGATTCCTGCCCAAGCAGCCCAAATAGCCTATGCCCACTTTCAGGGCCTGTACAGGCCTTCTCCCTGGTCCCATCATCCTAAGTATGGATTACAAGGCTGATGTGCACATGCCTAGCCCAGAAGATCTGTGTGTGTGTGTGTGTGTGTGTGTGTGTGTATTAGAGGTGGGTGTGGGGTGTAAATGAAGCTTGGATACAAAGACTAAGACATCTACAAGTGGGTGTGTGAAGCCCCTGCTCTGTGAGACAGAGCTGAAGGTGGGAAAAGAGGGGCTTGTCTGGGGGCTGGGAGCCGAGGGCACATGCTGCCACATGCTGGTACAGAATTCTGAGCAGTCTGAGAATTCTAAATTCCAGCCTGATCTTCTAGGTTGTTGTGAAATCATATTTGTTAATACAGGAGAATAAATCATACATTAACAGTTAGCTCTTTTAAACATTTAAACATGACCTGCAGGCCTCCATTTGTACTCTAGCATTGGGCCCCACAAATAGTAGGGACAGGACAGCCTTAGACCACAGGGTCAAGGATTGCACAAATGAGGCCACATTTGCTGGAGCAAAATGATTTTTTTATTGTGTCTCAGGACAACAAGTCAGCAGCTGCAGGCAAACAAAGCCAGGCCCAGCCCCAGGTCTGAAAGAAAGTCAAGGGGAGGCATGGAGGAGAGAGATCTGGAAGGCCTCTTCCAACCTCTAAGAATTCCACACAAGAATTCAGGGAGAGGGAGGAGGCAGCGAGGTCACCTTGCCTGTTCAGCTGTAAGTAAATCCTAGAAACAAAAGGAAGAATATTTTAAAGCCCAAGTCAATAACTTGAGGCCTGAATCAAGTTACTAAACCATAGATGCTCAGAGCTGGAAGGGAGCTGCCCAATCATCTACTCCAGGAGATTTCAAACTGCTCTGGGCCCTTCTCTAGGACAGCACGGCCAATCCTCTCCAGTCAACTGTCTGCAGTGGTCCCCAGTCCTCTGCTCCTCCACTCTGATGGTCCTCAGCATGGCTGGTTGGTCAGCAACAGCTCTCACCTGTGCAAGAGGATACATGATGAACATAGGGAGCCTGGGATCCAGGGATGGAGCAGCAGGCAAACCACCTGCCTTTAAGGCACTAGGTAGGTTTGGACAAGAGCCTATCAGTAATGTCCGTGGGAACTCCTGAATGTCTAGGCTAAAGTAAGGTGAGCTGTGGGTGGGGGAGGGCGTGTTACTAATGGTTGAGATTGGATTTCTCATCAGTGCAGTGAGTGAAGGGCATAGGATCATGTTCATTCTGATTTAGAAAATTAAAACAGGCTGATGATTTTGTAATGAAGAATTATGATGGAGTCAATGTTTACCCCACTGTACATATAAAGATAACACTTAGCTCAGACTGTGCTCAATAAATGGTAGTCAAAATTATTGTTGTTGTTATTTTAAAAGTCTGTGGGAAGCCCACCAAAAGGACAGAACCGGCCTAAATAAAACAAGACAGAAGGTCCACAGGAGTATAAGAAAGGATCAGTCCAAATATGTGAAGATGATCTCCCCCCAGTCCCTGTGTCCCACTCTGCCCAGCTCTCCTCCCACCCCCAGCCCGTCCTGGACTCTGTTACCTTCATAGGGAGCCAAGGTTTCTCTTGACAGTTTGGACAAGGGGGTAGGAGCCCTTGCTGCAGGATTTGCCAGTAAAGTCATCCAAGTCAATAGACCAGATCATGGCCCCTCCTAGGTTTAAATTCTTTAGGAACTGAACCTGTGGGGGGCAGAGAGAGACATACAGAGGTTAGAAGAGGCCCTTAAAGGCCCATGACACAACTCAGGTTCAGATGAGCGTTTAAATTTAGAATGCAGCAGTAGACTTATAGCTTATGGAGTTAGGGACTCCCAAAGGGAAGAGTTGCTCAGGGAGGTTTATGAGATCAAGAAAGGGCCACCCACTATTAACTACCACTCATTCTGGCTCATGGAGTCACCACACCCCAGATTCAGTGTTCTTGGAGGCTCTGAAAACTCCCCAGGATGGGGGTAGAAACTAGGAAGCCACTAGCAAGACAAGTGGCCTGGGGTTGTCAATTACACTGATGCCTCCTTTCTGCTCTAAGCATGGAAGGCAAACAAATGTCTTGCCAAGGTCTAAGAACTGGTAGGATCCGAAAGCTGGAGCCTCCTAGAGAGGTAATCCATGAGAAGGACTAAAAGATTTGCCCTGAGATGATCAATGAGGTAGATAACTACTCTATACAGGCACCAATGTCTCCTTTATTCCCTTTCCCTTCTCCTCACTCCTCTCTTCTCTCCACTTCTCACTTCTCCCTTTATTCTCAACTCTTTCTTGAATCTTTTCCACCTCTCCTGCCTGTACCATAGGTGTGCACAGGTGTGGCTTAGGGTCATCACTAGACTAGGGCCACAGAGGCCACTGGATCCCATCCTAGAGTGGGGCCCCAGAAGTTTCTCTCACTCAAGAGAGTATTGAGGCATTTGACTACATACTCCATTCCCCACCCAAATGAGTGTTCTCCTGTCCCTGACCCTCTTGCCAACATACCTTGTTCTCCACACTCTTCATGTCATCATAGCCCACCCACTGGTTCCCCTTGACTGCATAGGGAACCTGCTGATCCTGGAGCCTTGTGATCTTGGCTCCTTGCAGGAACTGGCAGATCTGGCGGGGAAAGGGGGAGCAAGAGAGTCAGTTCAGGACTCTTCTTGAAACCTATTGAGGTAGAAAGGGCGAATAAGCCACTAGGGTCTTGGAGACAATATCAGAACCTTTATCCCAGGGATCAGACAATGAGAGAAATGACCTGATACAACATACAGAATGGATGGTCCACTGTGAACCACTGAGAACTCTTTGTGCTTAAGGCCTCATTAGGAGGAGACACAAACAGCTAGAGGGCAGACAATACTTGAGTTCCAGATCAGACCTGACTGGAACTGACCAGTAAATCTTCTCATTTCTTCATTTGCAAAATGGAAATAATTATAATAATGTCTCTTATATACCTGCCTTACGATATTGCTGTTAGGATCAAATGAACTAATACGTTAGAAAAAAAAAAAAAAAACTTTGAAAACAGTAAAGAGCTCTATAAATATATGATATTGTGAGGACCATCACTATCATTCCCCACCTTGTAGTTTATCCCCAATTCAATCCTAGTATTCCCCCTCTGTCCCTTCCCATTCCCAATATGCCTGTCCTGGGATCCCCACGTCAATCATCAGCTATTCTCTCTTTCTGTTAGCATAAGTAAGAGCTACTAAAAAAGATAAATCTCCAGTGAAAAAAATGCATTTCAGAGTCACACAGAAAATTCATGTTGGTTTGCTTACTCTTTTTGGATTATTTACACTCACGCTTGCCTCAATGAGGGTATAAAATGGAAAGCGGAATATTTAAGCAAATATCAATTTGGCAAAGTTATAATGACCTAGAGTGATAAACTGAATAATCAAATTAAACTTTCCATGAGATGAGGGAGTGTGTATCCAGTGGTCCACATTAAAATCCCACCAGCAGATTCTGAGCAATGACCTCTCTATCTCTTATATTAAGAGTATTGTTGCTATCAAACAAGAGCTACCCAAGGATGGGTCAGCTTTTCTTTCTCCCTTCAATGTCAGGCACCCTGAGATTCAATGAGGACTCTCATGATGACCCATTCCACATCCCTTTGCCAACTGCATTGAGGGTGCCTGAACCATTCCCGTGTGAGATGAGGGGAAAAATTGAGCATTACATTGATTGAGTACTTCAGTGGATGCCAAGTCACTCAATATGGACTCATGCCATGCCCACACCCAAGATGAGAGGTCAGGCTAGCACTCCAAGGGGAGACTAGGATGTAGGATAATATTCTTTCCTCCGTCTGATCAAACTCCTATCCTTTCTTCAAGGCCCATCACATATCTCTCCTAGTCTGTGGAGCCTTCTCCAGTCACCCATCTCTGAATTCATGGCCCTCCACATCACTCATTGGCCACTTAATCACATCTTGTTTTACAATACCTCTGTTATTTTATTAACTATTATAGTTATCTTGTTTTTAAACTCTTGTTTAATTAGTTACATTTGTATTCTACATTCTTTCCACCTTGACGATAAGCCCTTTGAGACAAGGATGAAGAATTACTTACTTCTAGCTCCCACAGTACCCACTATTTGGGATATGGGAGTGTCCCAAGAGTTTGTTGGTTGAATTATTGTTTGATATCTAGTGTCCCCATGCTTTTTTTTTTTTGAAATTTCCCCAGATCGAGGGGCAGAAAGAAATGACAGTCTAATCAGCTGAACAACTTTGATTGTTATCCCTATGATACTAAGCCTATCTGTCTTCTGGACAAAATCTGAGACATTTTCCCACTTCCTCCTTGAAATATTTGCTTCTCTAAGCTCTGTGGCACAAAATGTATGCATTCCTCTTACCTTCCTTGTTGATCTTCTCAGCTTCCTTAATGGGGTCCTCTTCATCTGCCTATCCCTTAGGTGCAAGAGGTCCATGGGTTTTGTCTTGGACCCTATTCACTTCTCTCATATGCTTTGGCTTCAAATACAGTCTTTATGCTGATGATTTTAGAATCAACATCTCTAGCACAGACTGGCCTCTTGTGATCCAAACCCATATACCCAACCACTCACTTTTTATCTATATGTCCCACAGGCATTTAGATGTCCCACGGGCTCCTCAAACTCAGAATGTCCAAAACTGATCTCATGATCAGGGCCAATGCCCACTCTGCTCCTTCTCCAGTCTTCCTTATCTCAGTAAACGGCATTGCCATCCACCTCATTGCCCAAGTCAAAAACCTGGGACAGTTTCCCTTTTTCAATCTCCCATACTCTCTTCCACCTATCCCCACTTCCGATTTTAGCGAATGTCACTTCCTCCAGGAAACATTCCCTGACCCCCTCCCAAGTCAGAGTTAGGAGCTCCTTTTATATGTTCCAATAGTTCTTTGTACTTTCCTTTGCAGCACTCAGGATGTGTTACTCTATTATTGTCAAATTGAAGCTGGAACCCCTACCCAGACATAGGGGGCAGCTGAGGGCACAGGGAGGTTCCAGGTACCTCGTAATAGGCCAGGAAGCCTGAAGACTTGGTGATGGGGCCAGCAGCTCCAGGCCCAGAGGCGGGGGCCCCCAACGCAGTTTCTGCAGAGGCCAGTGTGAAGGAGCGTCCATACATGGGGATGCCCATGATCACCTTCTCCGCAGGCATTCCCTTATTTATCCAGTATTCCACGGCGTATTCCTAGCAGGAGAAGATAGACTGAGGCCCAATGTGTGGGGGAAAGTAAGGTGTCAGGCCTTTCTTAGCCTCTATCCCAAACTTCACAGAGATGACTCCTTGATTCTTTTTCTACATTGGTGGAGTGAGTATGGTCCCACCAGAACCAGAATTCCTATTCTAATGTACTAAATGCTCTTCAGCAGTAAGAGACTAATTCAACTTTTTCTAGTCGTGAAAGAAAACTAGACAGTGGATCACAAAAGAAATCAGGCAAGTGACCTAGAAAACATGAAATCAAGATTGTCACCATCTTTCTCTCCCCTTTGAATCAATTGCTTATGGAATTTGTCTACACTATGACTAATTGTGCTTAGTGACGAAGGTGGGGGCAAGGCGGCAGCCAGAATCTTAGACTGCAAGGCCTCACAATGACATCCGATCCAAGGGGGCAGGTTGGGAGGCAAGAGGCTAGTTTGGGCATTACTGCCCTCCAGAGCAAAATAAAAGGTTAGAGAAGATAAGGATATGCCTCATTCTTAAAGATAGCTGAGAGAGAGGAAGGAGTGAAGGAGGCTGATGTGACTTGATCATGTGGAGTCCTAGAAAACTCCAGACTAGAAATCAGAACACCCAGCTTTGGACTGATCAGTTTAGTAACTTTAAATGTGAAGGCCTGGAAATATGCAACCCAGACAGCATTTTTTCTCCCTACATTTTAGGAACACACGTCCATATATATATATGTACTGGAACAACAATAACAAATTTTTTTGTTGATGAAGTCTTTTTTCTTGGACTTTCCACTTTCTGCCACTTTTCAGGAATTCACATCAGCATGACCTCGAACGGCCACTGAATTTTCTGGGCTTCCATTTCATCGTCTGTGAAGTGAGAGTAACACTTCCTGACCGACCAACCTTACAGGATTGTTTTAAAAATCAAATTAAATAGGGAATATGGATGGACACAGGAGAGTACCAAGTCCTGTACATCCATGTGGGTGCCAGGAAATGTATCAAAGATGGAGAATCCAGAGAAAACTGCAGTGGTTCACACTCTGGGCCAGAGACAGAGCTCAGAGCACTTCAACTACCAGGTCTTCTGATATTTTCCAGGTGCCTGGTCAAAGCATTTCCCCTGTTCTCACTAGCTCTGAGTCCCTCTTGGACACATATCTCCTCCTCAGTCCAAGACTGAAGTCACTCTAGATGTGCTGAACTCTCCTCAGCCCCTCCCCGCAGCCAGTGCCCCACTGCACTTCCTCCTTACAACTTACCACATTGTAGTAGGAGCTTGTCCTTCTGTCTAGCTGCCCCTTTCTCAGAGGGCTGTTGTGGCCAGTGACAAGAGGCTTTTCCCAAGACCCATGGAAGTCAAAGGACAGGAGGTTGATGAAATCCAGTTCTCTAGAGTGCCAAAAACAAAGAAGAGATTCTGTGATGAGCAGAGGTAGAAGCAATTATATGTATTTGTTTCGGATTCTGTTATAAGGATTGAAATTAGCCATAAAGGCTAATTAAAGACATAAGATCATAAAGACAGAAGTTCCTGTCTGCATGATGTGGTTAGGACAATGACCCTCATGCTCTCCCTCCTCCCTTCAATCCTCAGACATACTGACACGCATCACTGGAATGTACCAGATTGGAGGCAGAGGGATGGAGGAGGTACTCACTTTGCCAATTTCTTGATCTGATAGCTGTTATCAATCATCTGCCTCCCTGCAGACACTCCTGCAGTCAAGAGAAGCCTTTCTTTGGTGGATTTTACAAAATCCTTTTGAAAGGATTCTGCTAACTCCTATGAAAAACGAGGAAACAAGGAGTCAGAGTCCTCCACCCAGAGTACAACGCTAAGGTTCTTGCCTGAGATCTATGACGTTTCTAGAACCACATTAGAGGGAAGAGATCAACTCTTTCCTCCACATTCCCACATGAGGATGTCTTGCGCCTGTATCTGCTCAGGATCTCTCCATATTGGGCAGGAGGACCCCCAGCCTCACTCCACCCAGGAAAGAACTATCCGGGTTTCCTCCTGATAGCTTTTCTGATCTATCTGATAGAACCTCTACGAGGCTATCTCAGTACTCAGAAAATTCTATGGCCCCATACTCTTTTATATGGATGTTGCTCTGTTTTGGCATTGTTTGTTTTTTGTGTAAGGAGGCTCTGTTCTTTGATGTTGTCCTTGTTCTAAATTAAGACCAGGGGATTTTCCTCCATCAGTGGGGCTTTTGGAAGGTGGGGGCTATGTCTTCCAACCACAGCCAATCTCTTCCTTTTTTCTTCTAGTGTGACCATGAGTTCTGCTTGTTAAAGGTACTGAGTGTACCATGGAGTTTGGCTTACTTGAATCAGTACAGTGAAATGAGTGTTATCTTTCAGATCTGGGTAGATCCAGCTTATATCCAGCCCATCAAAGTTATGGTTCCTCAGAAACAGGATTACAGAGTTGATAAACTTCAAGCGTGATGTAGAAGAATCAACCATGGGATGGAACCTGGATAGAAGCAATACAGGTATTTTTGGAAAAAAGAAGCGATATCCATAGCACAACATGTTTTTCACAGAAATCCTGAAATAGTCTTCTCTTTCCCAATATTTTCCCACCATTTGTGTATCCCACCCGCTGCCCCTTTTGGAACAGATAGGGAAAGGAAGGACGGTTGGGCCAGAAAACTGATCAGGTCAGGTAGAGGAAGATTGGAATCTCTGCAGACCTTCCTGCAGGGTAATAGAGCTGCCTTTGACAAAGACTCTCCTTGACCAAGCTTTAGTCAGGCTCCTCTGAACCCTCTTCTCAACCAGGTCCTGAGACCTGTGGCTTCCGTGTCCATTTTGCAGAGTCCAGTTTTAGCAAGAATCCTGCTAAGTCAGTTCAACAAGAATCTCCCACCCTTGATACCAGACCACCCTCAATATCTGATCAAATTCCTATCCTACCATCCCCCAGGTGATATCTGATCCCCCGGCCTGCCTTCAGGAAGAAGCCTGTTGAGTCAGTTTAGCAAGAATCCCCCAGTCCTAATATTTCCTCTTAGTAATTTTCCAGCCACCGCCCCCCCACCCCTGACCCTGCTCCTTGGATATAAATCCCCACTTGCCTTTGCTGTGTTCAGAATTAAGGCCAGTACTATACCTAGGTCTCTTTTGCCCTATTGCAATACTTCTTGAATAAAATCTGCTTTTACCTCTTTAACTACTGTCTAGCTCGGGTTTTCTTTAACATCTTACACCCTTGAAAAAGCAGTTTGTAGTGTGGTAGGCTTAGGGTCAGGAGATCTGTGTTCAAGTCCCAGGTCAGAGTCCTTTCTATTGGCTACTTCGTCACTAACCCGCTCTCTGGTTTCCAGTCTGGCCACCTCTAAAACAGGATGGAGGATACTAATCCTGCTTCATGAACCTACAAGGGAGCACATTTTGGAGAGCTCCATGAAAACAGAGCTGGACATCACTGGGAATTCCATTCATGTTCCCCAAATAAGCAACCCAGTCACAAATAGGCAACCCGGATCTCCCCAGTCTCAGGGCTTCTGATGAGCAGCAAGGAGGACTCTGAAAACAGCAGCATTCATCTGAACTAGAATTCTTAAGCCATAAAGTTAATTCTTAGCTGCCCACACAGAGGGCACCAATAGCATTTAAAATCCAAAGCTGTGGACAAGATATTGGTATTTTGCTGGGGACATATCCTTTGAATTGTGTCACTTCCCACCTCTCACAACACCTTCCACCCCCAGGCAAATTTACAGTCCTGAATTCATTTTGTTCCAGTCAATATTAAACTGAGGTTTGGGTCCCTGAAAGTATCTCAGCTGCACAGTGGAAAGATAGGAAGAAACGGGCCTGTTATTCAAAAACCATGGTAGAAATCGGTTTCTAACTTCTCTCTTGTATTTCAAAAGTGCTTACAATGATTAGAAGAAAAGCAGGGAATACCCTCTTTAGAGAGCAGTTGCATCTGAGGCTCTAGGGCAGAAGCTTCCAATTTTAGGAAAAACAACTATTCAATAGAAATTTACTAATTTGCTCCTCAGAAGCTAGTCTGTCGTTACACATGTTTAAGTATTCCGCATAGCGCCTGGCACAAAGCCTGCCATTTACCTAATAATAACAACATTAATGATATAACAATAATTCTTGCAATCATTGAGCCCTTGTTGCACATCAGCACTATGCTACACAGTTTGCTTGTGTTGCCTGCCCTCATAACATCACCCTGAAGTAGATTCCGTATTATCTTCATTGTATAGTTTTAAAAAACTGAGGCATAGAGACATTAAAGAACTTGCCTGAAGCCACATAACTTGCATACAGCTTGCATGTCCCTAAAGGGAAATCCAAACCAAATTTGTCTATCTCCAAAGCCCACTAAACTGGTACTCAACAGGCACTCAATAAATTATGTATTGAATGAATGAATGCATGCATGTAAGAATGAATGAATGAAGATATTTTTAATTGAATCAAAACTCAAGGAAGTATTAGGAATGAGAGAGAATTTGGGAATTAGGAGGATAGTTGCCGTGGAAACCCATTCATAATTGAGAGGAGTTCATGGTGAGGTTAACACAGAACCAGAAAAGTTAGGTAGGTTGATCTTTCTTCTTTCTGTGTGTAGGAATTGAGTTGCTAAGTATTCTACAATTTTAGAACTGGTAGAGACTTTAGAAATTAATTAGGTCAATTTCATTATTTCATAGATGAAAATATTCAGGATAAAAAAAGAAGAAAAAGTTGACATTTACTGGATGGTAATTGAGCCAGGCATGTGACAGGCATGACCTTGTTCGAAATCCTTGCAACCACCTTAGGAACTAGGTGTTGTGATATACATTTTACAGATGGGTGAACTGAGCTCAGAGAGGTTGTTAAATTTCCCTAGTTTGCTCATCTATGTAGGTCTTCGTATGCCGAGTTCTTTTCTCTGCTTGCTCCAGCTGTAATGAGTACTGACCAGCTGCACGGGAAAGTTGTCCTATCACACTTCCCAGGAAAGCGGAAAGCCTCACCTGGCTGAGCTTAAGATCTCTGGACTTTTTAAAATGTTATCACTTTAAAAAATTAAAGCAGAAGAAATTCAAAATTAGATGAATTGTATTTTAAGTCTGCAAAAAGGTGCATTTCACCCTTACATTAAGCTCTTGATGTAAATGGGGTATCATTTTCATGTGAATAGGAACTATAATTTATAATGTACGCCTCGTATTAATAGCTATTTTGTTTTTAAAGCAAAGCAGATATGACTGTATCTCTGCTCTTGGGCCAGCTGGCTGCACAGCAAGGACCCAGAACATCATGGTCCGCTGACTGCTGCTGGCCAAGGCCCAGGTTTTAAGTGGAAATAACACACAACCCATCCTCCTGGTGCAAAGTCAAACCCCCAAGTGAATTAAAAAATTGCATTTCCCAACTAAAACCATCTCCCCATCATCCATATGGTCAAAAACCTTCATGTAAATAATTGTGAGTTTTCTGAATACTGCCCCCAGCCCAGTTTCTCCCAGGCCTTAAGAATCTGGGCTTGTGTTAAGCTGCTGCAGAATTCCTTCCAAGACACAGAAAACCTAGTGCTGTGCCTCTACTTGTGACAAAATCCAGATCAGTTTTGCCATCTGGGCGAAGGGAAGACATCTTTAAAGCCGAATTCAATGTCTCTTCGCAAGAAGAGGAAAAGTGGTGATGGTTAGAAATTACATGGAAGAATGAACATAAAATAGAGAGATTGTGCTCTTACCCTTTGGAACCAAACAGGTACCCTCCAATGGACAAGAGAATTTTCAGTTTGGGATTCCTGGAGTAGAAGAATAAGCTGATTATTTCCCTACTGGCTGCCAGGGAAAACTGCCTAGGGGGTTTATTCCTGATGTGAAAAATATGGATAAATGGGCCCTGGCTGCTTAGCAGCTAAGTTTGGTGAAGGCAAGATGCACTGGGGAGAAGAATAGGTAGGACCAGGATTATACCCAACGAAATACATTTGAACAAATGAATGAATTAATGGAGGTAGTAGGCCTTAGGCCCAGTTTCAGACTAACTTCTCTCCTCCAAAACCCACCCTGGATGCTTCCCACTCCCATCCTACTGACTTCATTTTGAGACTGTTGATGGTCTGGTAAAGCATCGCATCATTCTTGTCCTTCATGATGACCTTGTTTTTACTGATGCTGGCGAATGAGTAGATGAGGTGAGAACATAGGAAGGGGTCAATGTTCTCAGGGGTGAACTTTCCTGGTTCCTGCCGGTTCTGCGACCAGTTGGTGAAGTAGCAAACTAGTTTGTAGGCATATCCTGGGGGCCAGTGAAGAGAGCCAATGGGAACATAGTGCTATTACCTTAGAGCCCAGAAAACCACAGTTTTCTCCCCAAACAGCCATTACCTCCTTTGCTTATTCAGCCAGAGCCTCTGAGGGTTGTTTAGCCTCAGCCCTTGGTGCTGGCTCTTGAGCATCCAGACCCCAGTTAAGAAATAGGTGGAGAGACAAAGATATCATCAATATATAAAACATCCACAGAGCACTGAGATTCAACATGAATGGGTGGATGGATGACACAGAGAGATAAATAGAGAAACAGAGAGATGATAGACACAACATTGAGGTAGGTATGTGAGAGAGGGAGAGAGAGACTCAAAAGATAGAACCAGAACCATGGATGCACAAAGAGATACACAGAACAAAAACCCAGAGTAATAAATATGTTAGTGTCAGAATCTGGGAGAGTAATTAAGAGAAACAGAACGAAGCAGAGACAGAAACCAAACATTAGAAAGGACCTGGCCTGGGAGACCCAGGCAGTAGTGACTCATTGACTACTTACCTCCCTGAAGAAGTAGCAAGACCGCTAAACCTGTAAGAGATGGGTGGGAAAAGAAATCTGTTGAGCTAAACCTGGTTCTTCTGTCTCAGACTGTAGCAGTGAGTATGTGAGTGTGCCTACATACAGGGCACAGCTGCACTTCCTCTGGGCACTCCAGCCACATCTGCTGTAGTCTCTGTAAAGGGCCTTGAGGTCCCCAGCCCTTGAGTATCTTGGGGACTCTACAGCCCAAGAAACATTTTCTATACTTGGAATTCATTTGTTCATGCATTTATCCAACAAACATTTGTTGAATCAACTGCTCTGTGCCAGGTGTTGTTCTGGAAACTGGGGAAACTAAAACAAAGTTGACGCCATCCCTGCACTCAAAGGGCTCACAGTCTAGTCTGGAGTTGAATATAGGTAGGGTGACCATATAGTTTATTGTCCAATGAAACACTTTAGAGAGTGAAAAGGAGCATTATTAATAATTTTTCTGGGACACTAGCTTGGACCAGAACTGTGCTGGGTGAATTGAGATGAATGGTTATCCTATCTACAACTAACTCTTGAAAGAATGCAAAGTGAATTGAGGAATGTGAGCTGGCTCTGGTAGTTCTCTAAGCCTACATGTTTGAGTCATGCCCAGCCTCTTCTCTGTAGAACACCTCCCCAAGGAGGACTGGTGCGCTATTCTATCCTTAATTCACCCTCCTAAATGGAAGGAAGGAACAGGACCCTGAGTGTTGGAAACTTCACTCAACAGGCAAGACTCCTTGAACTGTGTCCCCCCAGCCTTCGGACATTGTCTAGTCTTATCCACACTAGGACACCTTGAGGGTCTGAAAATGGAGAAAAGGGCAGTTAAAAATGAGAGAAAACATTGGATGACACAGCTGCTGGAGCCAATGCCTCCTCTGTAGAGCTTGGAGGTGGGAAATAGGGCTCTAGGGTTCTCTCGCGCTGATTCACATCTTGTTTAGGCAGAGTAGGCAAGGAGCTGTTCCTCCACACACCCACGAAATGATTAGGAGAATTCCAGTTGCTACATCTATTGTCAGGTCAGCCTCCAGGCCTTTATCTGAAGTGCTACCTCTTTGTGGGCTACTCTCCCAAGGGCCCAGGGATAAGAACTTCAACAGGGAACTCGAAAGGCTCTTGTCCTTATGAAGGGGGCAATCATGGCTGGAGAGTAAAGTCAAGATGAAAGAGGTAAGGACACATTGAAACGGCTTCTTTTCCTCCACAAGATGTACCCCATCACCTCCTGGTAAACTTCCCTTGTTCACCCATAGCCTGGTTTATTTAGTCTCATCCCCACCCTCATCCAAATTCCCAGCCACCACAAAAGCCAAACTTTTGGATCAGAACTTTAGAGTTGAAAGGGTGATTCTAGAAAACATTTAATCCAATAAATCATTATGCAGATGAGAAATGTGGGGCTCCCCAAAAGTTCTAAAATGTACCCAAAGCATAGCCCACGAAAAACGTGACTCCCAGTACAATGCTCGTACATCAAGAGACCAAGAAAACTTCTTCTCTTTCCTGTCTTGAGCTCCAGCTCCAATCTGGACAAGGGGCCCCTCTGTGGGAATGCAGACTGAGAACACCCTGATGATCCGAAGGATCCTGGCCACTGCTGCTCCCTTCCCCATTTAGGAAAGGTCAGATGGGTCCCATAGGACAGTTGTATTAGCTCAACAGCTTTGATACTGAGGTGAACAGAGAGACTGAGGTCCCAGGAGAGGAACAAGATTACTTCCTCCATAGGTCTATGTTACCCCTTCCCTCCTCATTAACTTTCCTGCTGAATTATCAGCCCCACACTCACCTCCCCAGAGACCCTTCTGGTCCATGGTGACTGCTCCCATATCCCTGGCCAGCTTCCCCTGAGATGTATACTCTGGGCCTTTTATGCCTTAGAGGTTTCGACAGCCCATCCTACGGGAAGGAAGCAAGAAGTCCAGGAGATTCCAAGGACTTCCCCTGGCAAATCTGCCTTGTGAAAACTTCCTGGCAATGAGGCACACGTTTGTGCAAAGCCAACTCTTACCTGTCAGAAAAAAGCTGCCGTGGAGATAGCCATTGAGGGTTCTTTTCCTCTGTTCTCACTCTGAAGGGACTTAGTCCCTGAGAAGGGAAGGGAAACCAAAATGGCTACTTTGGTTTGTCTCCTCATATCATTTTCCAGCCCCCAAATCCCCCTTCCCCATCATCCAGGATCTGCCTCCTTCTTCTTTCCCTCACCTCCATCTGCTCTCACATCACTTCTGGCCTTATTGTTCCTGGTTATTTAATCAGACACTGCTACCAGCCCAGTGGGTCCCACCCAGCAGCTATTCTTGACCTGATAGATCCAAATGACCCCTTCTCTGTGGAGCCTTTCTGGCTTCTCCACTAGGCAGGGTTGGCTGGCTCCTCTGCTCACAGTGCATTCGATTTCTTTGCGTATCTCCACATTGTACTGCAATGCACTGGTGTATATGTCTATCTCCTCAACTTGACTGTGCAGCTGTTAAGTACAAGAAGTACGTGAAAAAAGAAAAACAAAACCCTCAACAAATGCTTATTGAAGATCCTCCATTAACCTGTTAGAATTGAATTGTACCTCAGATTCAAAGGTTCAGATTCTCAAGGCCTGCATGATCTGGTCGCTGCCTCATTCTCCAATCTCCTTTCATGTAACTGGCTCTCTCTGTCAGTGTCTCTCTGTCTCTCACTTTGGCTGTCTCTGTTCTCTCACTCTATGTTAGTCCCATGAGCCTTCTCTTGGGCCTTGAGCCTTCTGACATGCTGATTCCCATATATCAGATATGGGCCATGTGGGAAAGAAAAATCACCTAGATCCGTTTTAAGTCCTGCCAAAGGAAGAGCAATGGGACCCCAACAGAGAAAGTATGCTGCTTGGAGGGGCATCTCAGAAAAGCAGAGGCTGATGGGAAGCAGTGGCTGGAGGAAAATGCACAAATATTCTCAGGAGGGAAAAATGTTAGCTTAAGACATCTGCCAGACCCTGGAGGCATGAAACCCTCTTAAGACCACACCAGTTAAGTGACAACTGTCCTATCTTGCCACTACTCTCTCTCCCCTTGCTTTGACTAAAGCTGGCTCAGAAATCATAACAGCAAGATTGAAAATAAGGGGGTGGAAGAATAAGGAAAGGAGAGAGAAAAGGAAGAGGGCTGCAAGTGGCAGCCCACAGGAGGCGGGACTGGGGAAGCACGTCTGACAACATGCGATCAAGCTGGGAGTCTCGGTTATTTTCTGGGACTGTCTAGTAAACTGAGATTGAGTTTGCATCTTACAGTGACTGTAGAACTTTCATTACCTACAAGTCAGCAGAAAATTCCAGGGACAGGCCAGAACCGTCCCCACTGAGCAGCAAACGTAAAGGGACAGTTGGAGCCAAAAATAAAGTTGCTTTGATGCTTCTACTCCTTAAGTCCTGCCAGTTCAATGTACCAGACACACTTGTTCACCCTTCAAGAAATCTTGTGATATGTCTAAATACAAGCATAATATATTCATTTCTATACTTTTTTTTCCCCACTTAATATACTTTAGATATCCTTCCAAATCAACCCCTATCTACCTTATTCTTTTTATTGGCTTCACGGCATTTCATCATAGGGCTAAACCATCATTTACTTAACCATTTCCTACTGATAAACATTTAGCTTATCTCTAGATGTTTTTGTTATTTAAAACAATGCTAAAATGAATACCCTTGAAAATATGTATTCTTTGTATATGTATGAGTCTATCTGTAGGAGAAATCCCCAGCAGAAGAATTTGTGGGTCAAAAGAACTTTGAGAGCTACTGTAAAACTGCCTTCCAAAGAGTGTGCACATCATTCAACGTTGTTATTTATGCCAGTCTGATAGGTGACAAATGTTACCTCATTCTTTTAATTTGCATTCTTTCAAATGAGTGTTATTGTTTAAATTTATGAATCATTTGCATTTCTCTGTCAGAGCACTGCCTGTATATATTCTTTGTCCACTTTTCTATTGAATTTTTCTTTTTTATTTGGAAGAATATAAAAAAATTTTTATACAACAAATAAATTAGACCTGTCTTTATATATTAAATTAGAACTTTCTCAAACGTGATACAAATATATTTCCTCAGTCATTTATTTTTTTGTTTTGTTTTGTTTATGGTACTTTGTCCATAGTGCTTTAAATCTATATGTAGTTAGTAATCAGTCTTTTTTTTTTTTTTTAATGAGTTCTGGCTTTGGTATCTTGCTCAAGCAAACAGGCCATTTTAACCCAAGATTACATTTTAAAAAATCACTTGTGTTTTCTCCTAATACTTTGTGATTTATTTTTTCCATTTTAATCTTTGACCTATATGGAATTAATTTTTTTAAAAAACACATGTGGATCCAGCTCTTTTTTCCCCAAATAGTTAGCTTCATGCTTCAATATTATTTACTAAAAATTCACCCTTTCCCTACTATTTTGAAATGCCATTTTCAAGTGGCAAATTTATTTGGGTAAGTTTGTTTATTCTCTGCCCTGTATTCTGTTCATTGATTATCTGTGCATTTTAACATTGTTGTACATTTCATATACACTTCTGTTTCTGCTTTAAAAAATATGTAACATTATATTATGCCATATACATTTCCTGAGAACATTTTCTTTTGCATGGGTCCATATCTAAAGGGGATCTCCCAGATGAGTTAGATGTGAAATATAGCCCCCAAATAATTAAGTAAAATAAATTGTTAAATGGAGTCACTTTGTGTGGTTACCAAATCATAGAATATAAAAGCTAAAATTCATCAGGCCATGTTATAGATGAAGAGAGAGTGCACCAAAAGCAGTAGTTTTAATTTTTGAGTAGTTGATACTGAGTTGACTTTTCAGATACTAATTGACCAACAGGTTAAGCTGGTTCTTGAAGCCACACCTGGATGAAGAGAGAGCGTCAGGACAGAGAAGGGCACAACTTGGATCCTGAGAGCAGGGCAGAATGGAGAAGGATGCTTGGCTTTCCCTTTGGTGCCCTCAAAGGAAGAAGCTTCCTAATTTCTATATTTTCTTTAACGGTCATGTACTACTTTTGTGATGAGGAAGAAAACACAATAGATGTCACTTTTTAAAGTGTTTGGA